TCCCGCCGAGGGTTCAGATCCCATGTGGAAACCGGTTCCCACTCACTGGTTGAGCACGGTGCGGGCGCGACACTGAGGGTTGCAATCCCATTGCCGGTCAGTAAAAAAGACAAAAAGGAAAAAAAAAAAGAAAAAAGAAATTGCAAGGCAGTATAATTGTGCTCTTCACAGAGTAATTATAGGATTTATAAAAATAAAATGAATTCAGAACATGCCATAGGCCTCATGGTCCAGCAATGGGACAAATTTTAACTGTGTGATGAATGTCGTCTTCTTCCCATCCTGTCAGAGTATTGCTGTGCTTATAGGTACAATCTCATCAGAGATAACAACAGGATCTAAATCTGAGGCCCTTCATGTGGCTCTCCTGGGCCCACACATAGGGGCTAGGGTGAGACCCAGTCTGTTCACACTCAGTACTTATGTCTTGAGTCTTCTCATTGTTATAGGAGGAAAACCTGATCTATGAAAGCCTATTAAAGTCAGGGGAAATAAAGCTGCCAGGGTCCACCAGCAAGCTGGCCTAAGGCTGTGCTGGGGGCCTGGAAGCCATGTAGGAGAAAGAGAATGTGTCCAAGGGACAGGGGCTGAGGAGGGGAGCATAGGAAGACAGTCGGAGTGGGAGGCAACCTTCCCTGTGGGAGCACTGGCTGTTGCAACAACCAAAATCAAAATATACAGTGGTCCCAACAGGAAAAATGTTCATTTCTTGCTCACCATGTCATAGACCTGTTTGGATTGTGTGGCCCACTTCCAAGCAATGACTCAGGATCCAGGCTTCTTCAATCCTCCAGAACTCTCTCCCTCTCTACCACCTTGGAGGTGGTCTCCATTCTGATGGTGAATGGGGAGAGAGACCATGGGAGAGGCACCTGTAATACTCAGCCAAGGTGTCCTGGAAGCGACACACCTCACTTCCACTCACATTCCATCAGTGAGAACTAGGTCACTGCCACATCCAGGTGGGAGAGGTGGGGAATGTAGTCCTTGGTGGGTGGCTGCTCCCAATTACAGCTGTGCCCCATGAGAGGAGACTGTGCTGACTGCCTCTGCCGTACTCTCAGCCTTGATGACCCTTCAGGAAGATGCAGGTGGAGGGTCATTCCTGGGCAGCTGTGACCTTTGTCTCCTGTTGCAGCTCCACTTTTAGGAAACCTGACCCAATAAGATGCCTTTAAACTTGACCAACCAGATTTTACTATAGTGCAGAGGGTGGCAGTGAGATGCTGTGAAGGTTCACTATCTCTCTGAGACTGTCAGGGACTGCCCTCTTTCACCCCCTGACCCCCTCCCCAGGAGCTCTTCTGGCTTTCAGGTTCATGGGAGGCCTCATTCCTCCCCTGGTAAAGATGGTACAGCAGCTCTCTCATACCAAGCAAACTACCTAATCATCGTCTGCTCCTGCCCAAGTTTCTGTGCTTTCAGGGACTACAGAGTCATTTTATGGTAGGCCCTGAAGGCCCATCCGTTGTGGGAGAAACATTCCAAACTTCCCTAAAGGGAAGTGAAACATGGTTCTTCAGGAATCTGTGCCTGCCTCTTTCCCCTGGTGTGGAGAGCTGACTGCACACAGAGGTGGTGGAGCATACCACATGGGGAATCCCTCTGTTCTATAACCTTTTCGCTGGAGGGATTTGTAGCCCCTTCATCCAGCCAATCAGGGAAGGCTTCCTGGGGGAGGTGGCATGAGTGAGCTGCTCAAAGGAAAACTCCGAGGAATCCTAGCTCAGAGCACTCCCAATGCATCTTTCCCTCTTCAGGCTGGGCAGGTGGGGGGCATTTTTCTCCCAACCGTGTACCTGCCTCCCACAGGTACAGGAGAGGTTCCTGGC